GATTACTGCCAGTGACAGTTTTATAAGACTATTGGAGGGATAAGGGTTGTGAAGAGCCTAAAGACCAAGTTCCAGAAAGAGAGAAAAGCTACTGGTTTGTGGATGGGTTTCTCCAGCAGCCTGTTCACTGTCTCAAGATGAAAACCTCGTAGTCCCGTGTTTTGGTGGTGTTTGTTTCCCCCAACTTGGAGGCTTCTCTCATAACCACAAAGCTATGAATTAGGTGATATGAAACCCTCTTTCATAAAAGAGATTAAATAATTCATTTTTCAACATGCTGGAACTGTGGATAAAATTGACTTTTAGAAAAACTGAAATTCATTCTCTTCTTTTGTATCCCTCTTTAAAAAAAAAAAAAAGATCATATTTTAAAGCCACAAACTGTTCGGTTTGGTGTCTAGATAGATCTAGCTAGTCAAGCTTTATGTTGGACCTCTGTCTGTCTGTCTTTCTTTTGACTGCTCCACACGGCATATGGGATCCTAGTTCCCAGATCAGGGATAGAATGGAGTCCCCTGCATTGAAAGGCAGACTCTCAACCACTGGACCACCAGGGAAGTCCTCTGTCTTCTCAATAAGCAGGGCGTGGCAGATGGAACTCGTTCCATTACTACACTCCTGCTTTTGTCAATTTAGGACTTGGAAATGGTGCTCTCCCAGTTTCTTCTACCTTACCTTATACTTTGCAAGGTCTCAGAAGTTTTTATTGGTTTGTTTTGTTTTCAGTTTTCCTGGGACTGTCCCAGTTTTCATCAACTGAGTCCATGTTCAAAATATGTAAATTATCTTCGTAATAGTTAAAAGTGGGAGATGCCCTGTAATTGTATCTGTTTGCATTTATCAGACATGACTAGTAAGACAGTGATAGCTGATGTTTTAAAAAGCACTCAGGATTGTTGTCATTGTTCAGCCGCTAAGTCATGTCCAACTCTGCGGCCCCATGGACTGCAGTAGGCCAGGCTCCTCTGTCCTCCACTGTCTCCCTGAGTTTGCTCAAACTCCTGTTTATTGAGTTTGTGATGCTATGTAGCAATCTCATCCTCTGCCACCCCCTTATCCTTGTGCCGTCAATCTTTCCCAGCGTCAGAGTCTTTTCCAATGAGTTGGCTCTTCACTTCAGGTAGCCAAAGTATTGGAGCTTCAGCATCAGTTCTTCCAATGACTATTCAGGGTCAATTGCCTTTAGGATTGACTGGTTTGATCTCCTCGCAGTCCAAGGGACTTTCAAGAGTCTTCTCCAGCACCACAATTTGAAAACATCAATTTTTCAGTGCTCAACCTTCTTTATGATCCAGCTGTCACATTCATACATGACTACTGGAAAAAGCTTTGACTATACGGACCTTTATCAGCAAAGTGATGTCTCTGCTTTTTAATACACTATCTAGATTTGTCATGGCTTTCCTTCCAAGGAGCAAGTGTCTTTTAATTTCATGGTGGAAGTAACAGATTGCTCAGGCTTCTACAAGGGACTTCAAGAGCTGGATTTTCTTAAGTGGGCTCTGGATATGCGTAGGGGGATTTTTGACCCTTGGTGATCACAGGAAGGATTCAGAATGAATACAGGACTTATAAGCATGCAAGCTGCTAGGCATGCACAGGTATAAATTCCCAGGCTCTGCCCCGCCATCTGCAGCTTATGAACCCTTAGAGGCATTGGACACCCAGCTGACACCATTGAGTCCAAGCAGCAGACCACTGGCCCTCCAGCCCAGGTTTGGTGTGGGATTTAAAAGATCTCATGTCTGTGTGCAATCTGATTCATTTATGCAAGTGTTATCTGCCCTCCGCCTCCTAATCATATCACAGATCTTACTGTGGTTCTCATGAGGTTCTGGTGGAACTCAGGGTCTTCTCTGCCCTGCCTCTGAGGTTGTGAGGGTTTCCGGGATCCCCCAACCTCTCAATGGGAAGCAGTGTCAACTCACTATATAAGCAGAGTATTTAGAAGCCGGCATACATGGACTGCTAAGCTTCTGGAGTGCTGAGTGCTTCTGTGGATTGGTCATGGGTTTGACAGGAGAGAAGGCATTTTCTCAGAGACTCTGCAGAAGCCTGGTGGCACATGGTTACTTTCCCTCAGCAGTTCATCCAGTTCTGCTTACAGAATAGTTCTTGAAGCCAGATGAGCTTGAAGTTGCTGCCTCTAGCTTTAATGAAGCCATAGGGCTGCAGGGAGACAAGGCCAGAAGTTGACTATTTGCTTTAGACAGAGGCCAACAAGAGGCCTGTCTTGCAGGGAAGAAGAGCCCAGAGCCTTCACAGGCTTGGAGTTGGTCTCTAACCATTCTCAGACAGAAGGCAAGAGCCTGGGAACTTAGACCAGGGCATGTCTACCCAATTGTACAGCTGTAATCCTGTACACAGTTGAACTCTCAGTGACTAGTTTAGGACCAAAATTTACCTGTGTCAATGCAGAGTCCATTTAAGAAAATTAGTTAAAGTAGCAACAGGGTTGCAAAGGGTTGGACACGACTGAGCGACTAAGCATAGCACAGCACCAAGACCTTTTAAACTCCGTTGGTGGTAGCCCCTTCACAATCAGGTAATATAGATGGGCATTTTTTCTAATACATCAGCAGGTTCCTAAAGTGACTTAGAAGTGTAGCCAGTGAGTCTCTCAGATGGTGCAAACAAAGAAAAACACTGCAGTCTGTTGCTAATCATATAGAACAAAATAGGAGGGAAGCCCAGCCAGCCCTTGGATCTTAGTGGGCACTGCAGTCTAGGACACAGAGGTGTAGCTTAACTGTGACAAGAGCACAGAAGCAAACTGAAGGATTAATGTGTCCCAGACAAGTCAGGTTGCTTTCTCTGCACATTTTAGTGAACTTCTTAGTTATGCAAAGGCCCAGGGCTAGGCTTTATATCTCTTACAGATTAGGGGCTTCCCAGGTGGTGCTCGTGGTAAAGAACCTGCCTGCCAATGCAGATAGATACTGGAGACATGGGTTTGATTCCTGTGTTGGGAAGATTCCCTGGAGTAGAAATTGACAACCCACTTCAGTATGCTTGCCTGGAGAACCCCATGGACAGAGAAGCCTGGCCAGCAGGCTACAGTTCATGGTGTTGCAAAGAGTTGGACGTCTTAGTGAACTTCTTACTTACACAAAGGTATTTAGCAAGGTTTTATGTCTTTTATAGATTACCGCCTAGAAAAGAAAAGACAGAATGTGATGTTTTGGGGCCATTTTGGTGTCTGGCACAATTCCAGCTCTGAGAAGAAATAAAATGTGAAAAGTTCTACATATTATTCTCTATAGGTTACAATGCAGTGGACCAGATTTGCTATTAATATAGATTAAAAGTAGGCTTTTGAGGAAGGCTCCATCCCTCTTCTGATTTGCCCTCTGATCTTCTTATACGTAACATTTAGTGACCTTTGAACAGCCCAGGGGTGCTTCACAGTGTCTTTTTCTTGATGCCTGTTTAAAGGTTTCGATTTCATATTCACAGCTGGCATATGCAAATATTGGTAAAGATTATGATGCCTCCCAAGTAGCATTATGGTCAATAAATTACTCCTTGTGTGAATATAACATGATCTCAGCCTAGCATGTCTTCAACAAGTCGCAAAAGTTGTCCTGCAGCAGGCAGTCTGCCAGCGCATCCCCACAGAGCTGGTTGCCCAGATGCTCCTAGATTCAGGTGTGATGCTTAACCAGGGCCATCCTGTTGGCAAACGAACTCTCTGTCTTTTGCCACCAAAGGGCTCCTAGTTTCAGGGGGAGGGGTATAGGAGGGTTTCTCTGAGTGGATTTGGGAGGCAAGCGAGTAGCACATGAAGAATCAAGCATGCTAGGATCTCTGGGAGAAACACTGGAAAACAGGAAAGAGCACGATTCCATTCAGAAGTTTCAGAGACCTGTATTCTAAATATTGACTCTACAACTTAGATCACTCTGTGACCCTGAATAAGTCACTTAACGTCTCTGCTCTCTAATTTGTTTTCCTTTATAAAACAAGAGAGCTGTATTGGGTCAGCAGTTTTTATTATAATTGAGCAATGGAGTTTTTCCTCTAACTCAATTTCTCAGGTGGAAACCCAGTGGAAACTTGTTCCATTTGTGAGAAAATAGGGAGCTTAAAGCCCTCACAGCTCAGGAACTTATAACTGCCCAGGAAGCAGTTTTAAGATGGACAGATCTGGGGGTCTGTGATACCCTTCACGATTCTTGGAAGGGACCTGTCAAAGGGTCCTTGCCCTGTGCCTGAGGCCCCCAGCGCTGAGTGGTTTACCCACCAGAAGGCAGGCCCATGAGCCCAGGACCACATCCTTTTTGTCATATGCCCAACCCTGGGAAATTGTTCAGTAAGTGTTTGTGGACTGGAACAACTAATAAACAAATGAACAAATACACAAGATTCAGGAAGACCTATCTCTATATTACTGATGAATGAGAATATTTATTACAACATTTTTACCTAGAAGACACTTCATAAACATTAACAATTCAGAACTACAAATAAGTACAGATTGTAAATGACTTTAAAACTTTTTTCTTTTGTGACCTGTGCACTGGCTTTGAGAGGGGGCGGGTACAAACTGAGGTGTATTTTGTCCAACACACCAAATTTTGAGGACTTAGTATGAAAGTTTAAAGAATGTAGAAAAGTATCTCATTAATCATCTTTTATACTGGTTACATGTTGAAATGGTAATATGCTGAGTTAAAGAAAATGTCGTTAAAATTTTCTTTACCTGTTATCTCTTTATTTATGGGATTAATAGAAAAATTTTAATTATATTTGGGCTCATGGTTGTGACTCACATATTTCTAACAATGACATGGCCTTATACTGTTGATCATCAATAACTACTCTTCCAAAATGGTTTAGTCGCTCAGTCGTGTCCAACTCTTTGTGACCCCATGGACTGTAGCCTGCCAGGCTCCTCTGTCCATGGGATTTTCCAGGCAAGAATGCTGGAGTGGGTTGCCATTTCCTTCTCCAGCTCTTCCATAGTATGTGTGAATAATTGTGTGTTTGTCTTTTCCCAGGCACAGAAGCTGAAATCCAACATATCAGGCAGTACCCACCTCTGTCTTTCTGATGTAAGTGATTTCTTTCTGAGTCTCCCTGAATCTAGAAACAGAGCCTTCAGGTCCCTGGAACAGGGTATGATGTGAAAGGACTCAGAGACAACAAGGTTTCAGGCCCAGAAAAAATCCGAGTCTCCCTTGGTGTCCCTCTGCCCTTGGAGGCAGGTGCAGATCCTGGTGTACAAAGCAAGCGCCAAGTGTGGGATCCTCATCTCAGAACTGGACCAGCACAGATACCATTGTCCCGGTACCATGAGAACCTCTGTGGCCGCAGTTACATAAGTTCAGCCGGCGCAGAGAAGATGCATAACACCTCTTGCTGCTTACCAGATGTCCCCTAGACTGCTCCTTTGACTTTCACAGCGACCCAGAAGTAGCCAGTGCGGGCCACGGTACCCTCCTCAATGTACACTTATAGCTCATGGTGGCAGGATGTGGTTTTCTGGGATTGAGCAGGCCCTAGGGATGGGGATGAAGGGGTCCATCCTGGGGAAGAACAGCTGTGCTGACTGAGGGTCCAGGAGCCTGGGTCCTGGCTGGGACTCTGACTGACAAGCAGGGCAAATCCTCCACCTGTAAAGTCCAGGGTTGAACCAGCCAGTGGAGGGAAGGGCTACTGCCAGGCTCCAGGGCAGTTTGTGACTCATGTCTCCGTGAACCCCTACTTGCCTGGGCAGACTTCCCGAGGTGATTCTTCCTGCCCTCCTTCATGATGGAGAGAGAGAGCGAGCATCCCTCCTCAGTCAGTGATACCCAAAGGGAGAATGATTCCGTGTTGCACAGCTGATGGGTGACTTTAGGAGCAGGGGTAAAAATCTTGGGTTGGCTTTGGTAAACCGTACAGCCAGTTGGGGGCAGGGAGCGGAGAAAGAAAGAGTGAGGCTAAAATATGCCGTGATAGAACAAACACATGCAGTGGGTGATAATGAAAACATTCTTTCTTACAGCGTGATTATGAAAAGGATGGTCTCGCTGGGGCTTCCAGCCACATAACCACAAAATCAATGGCTGCTGCTCCAAGCTGCGGTCTGAGCGCACTGCTGGCCCTGGTGGTAACTGCCCTGTCCACCCTGTTGTCTTTATCTTTGGCCGAAGCATCGTAGCTGCGTTTACAGAATCACATGGACCTGTAAAAAGACAAAAACCAAGTTATCTGTTTCCTGTCCTCTTGTATATCCGAAATTCCAGTTTTAGGAGCTCAGTTGAGACACTGCTAAACCAGTTTCATCCTACTGGAACTTTTTTCTTTCTTTTTTTTTTTTCCTAAGAAAGCTTCTTATGATCCTTAAGGCTTATATGGGAATCCCCAGATACAGTGCTACATTCCACACTCAGAAGGCTTTGGGGCACGTTGGATTGTAAAGGGATGGTTTATTGTTGATGTGGCTATAAAGCGGACTGGAGCCTTGGCTTTCAAGATCCTGATAAGGATGATGATTTTTAACAGTTTCACTCTGGTCTTGACTAGCTAGAGAAGGAGTCAGTATTCCTAAAGAATCTTCTATATCTCCTGGAGTAGGTTTGCTTTTTGATGACATGACCATACCACGGCAGTGGTATGTGGAGGCCAAACTTTTTTGTCACAAAGCAAAGATTCTCATCAAGACAATCTTGATGGACTTTGTACAAACAAGCTTGTACCAGTGTTCTTTCTATATGTATTAGCGTTTTCCACGCTGATGTTTATGTACAGTAAACAGCTCTGCACTCTCTTACGAAAACAGAAAAACACCTGCTACATCCAATGTAGTGTCTGTCTCCTAGTCAAAATAGAGAATGAGAGTGGGTGTGAGACTTCACAGAACCTTGAGCATTGAGACAGTCTCTGAAGCCTTACTTGAGTGAGAAGCCCTTACACTAACAAGAGTCAAATATAGCTGAAGCATCATGCTAATAATCTTTACATGTATGAGGTTATATGCAGAAAAAAATTTTACTACTAAATGATTTCAACTATTGACTTTCTATATTTTGAAAGTAATGATATTGTCTTCATTTTTTTTTTACCGGTGGTTTAATACAAAATACATGGAGCTTGTTGTCCTCACATAAGTAGCATTAGCTCCGATGTTGACTTCTCGAAGACAGGTCTTCAACAGCAGACTCTGAGGAGCCTCATGCTTTAGCAGAAAGCTCTGCATCACGTTACTGTGGATAGGCAGCAGGAAACAGAGCAGCCAAGCTCTGGCTGGAAACACAAGCGTGCATACCTGTGGGAAAACTGGTGGCCACTCGTCATTGTTCTACAAACTCTACAAATGGCACCATTGCCAGTTGACACAAACCAGGACCTTGGTTTTCATGTTACCTGACAATGGCAGCTTTGACTGGAACGGGAGACAGGACGTGCTGCCCTGTCTTCGGAAGCAGATCCATGCCCAGGATACACAGCTCTTTTCCTAAGGATTGTCTTGACTTTCAACTGTGATGGCTTGGCCGCTCTGTGGATCGGTTTGGTCTGAAGTCATCAGATATCTGCTCGCACTGTGTTCTGTGTCCTCCGTGATAGACTGTGACTGACTCTGTAAAAAAGAAAAAATGTTTGGGGGATCAAGAGGGTCACGGTCACCATTAGGTCCATGGAGATAAGTTGGCCCAGAGACACAGAACAGGGACTCTGGATATAAGGCATCTGACTTGTTAACTGCACGTCTCTTCCATCATTCTCTTCCTTCAGTGAATAGCCCCGAAAGTGCACTTCTGAAGTCTGGTTGAAATGGTGAGATTTGAAATCTACAAGGATCGAGTGCTAGTAGCCATGTTTCTTTGCAGCTGAACAGAGGCGAGGAAATTCCACCCAATAGAGTGTCTGAAGCGTTGGCTTTCTTCCGACATCAGTAGAGTGGATGGAGGAGGAAACCCACAGTGCTCATTTCATCCTGATTCCCTTTGCTGACGGATGATTCCCTTTGCCTTGTAAGAATTAATCCAATTACTAGGGTGGGAAATCTGTTAAACCCAAGATGAAGGCATAGTCTTTTAGCTCTGTTGGTGTTTGAAGTACATTTATATCCAAATGTTAATAAACATAAATGTATAATACTAAGTACCGAGTTTTTTCACTTCAAAATGTTTTCAAGGGAAATTCATCAAACAAATTCGATTAGTGAAAGGTTTCATAAAGACTCGTACTTTGAATAAACACATTAAATGTGTTGAAATACTTGGAATTCCAGTCATCTGTGAAAACGTATCTCTTCAGAGCATATTTTGTTTTAATTAAAGTATCTGTGTATCTACATTGGACTAATTGCATAGAGGTCAGATTCTATGTAATCTACTGTAGAAAACTATTGATTACTTCTGTAATAAACAGCATCTCTAATTAGCTTCAGATGACCAAAGAGGAAATGGAAGTTACCAGAGCTAACAAGGGTAGCCTTCAGTGAAGAATGCGTGGATGTGCAACACATAAATTAAATTGTAAACAGCCTCATGTTTCACCAACATAGATCGCATTTTTCTTCAGAGATAGAAGCACATGAGAGTTACCAAATCGTCAGTCTGAAAATAAATTACTGACAAAATAAACAGGGGGAAGGATGTTCCACGACAACGCATTAGAGAGATTCTTATAAAATCATGCCAGGACTTTCTCGGTGGTCCAGTGGTTAGGACTCTACATTTCCTTTGCATAGAGTGTGGGTTTGATCCCTGGTCAGGGAACTAAGATCCTACTTGCTTCTCAGTCGACCAAAACAAGAAAAATCTTGCCAAGCAAGTGTTTATACCATTTGGGGTGATCTCAGTTTAACATGGTGACCTAGAAACACCATCATTTGCCCCAGTACTGGAACAAGCCAAACCTTTTATCTTCTCTGGCTTCCTCTGGCAGCACTGAAAGCAAAAAATGATTCACTACTTCCTGTCCTTCATTGCCCTGCATTGAAGGTGCCACCAAAATCCAAGAACTGTTTGCTGAGGTTTGGGCCTGTTGCAGAAAGCATCTCATAGTTGATTTTGGCAAAACACAAAATAGTAACTTAAGTGCATGGAGACCAGTGGCCCCCAAATCAAGTCTAGCCATGCCCCACTCGTTTCAGAGAGGGAAAAAAAAAGCAAGATTGCAAAACCAGTTAGAAGCACATACAGTCCACTTGAGAATGTTGAGTGTCTTTGACCAAGAGGTGTTGGAGGTGTTGGAGCGTTTAAAATAGAGCACATGAAGGAAGAAGGGCACAATAAAGAGAGGAAATTCAGAATGCCACCCGAATTATTTATTTTTCCATATTTGATTTTTTCCAAGGCTCTAGTAGAAAAAGCGTAAGTTGAGAATGACACAGATTATTTTTCATTAAGTATAGCAAACTGTATCCAAAGTGTGATAGGAATGTGGTTTCCATTTAGGAAAAAAAAAATTTTTTTTTTTTTAAATTCTTAATCCTGTAGTAAGAAATGTTTTAGAAGCTGTGTCTTCAAGCTCATCAAATATAGGCCACGGCTCCTCAAGAGCTGCTGTGGCCTTTGATCTAGTCTATATTAAGATTGTTCCTATCCTGCACATGCTCCAAGGATGGGTTGTCTCCAGCTGTATCCCCATCCCCCACCTGCCCCTTTGTAGTCTAAATCAGACACTCCCAAACACTCGATCTGCTGAGCTAGGGAAGTGGGGGAGCGGAAGCATTTCTGAATCAGTGTTAAGTGCTTGGGAAAAGAGATGTAAGAGCAGTGGGAGTTTATATAATTAGCAAATTCTTTTCTTAGAATCCAGCTAACATGTATTTCTGTTGTTATTATTTACAAAATAGTGGCCTCCAAGGAGCTGTCTTTTGGAAAATAAGTATTTAAGTCAATAAACTGTGGGGCCAGAAAATGCCTGTTTAAATGAAAGCACAGTTTCTCATTCTCTTTCAAACTGTTCTTGATCTCTTGGATTCATACACCCCTGATCTTTATTTATTCCTGCTCTTTGATTAAACAAATGAGACCATGTCAGACCCACCGTTTCAAGAACAACCCCAAAGCAATGACAGCACACAAGAGTGAATTATCAACGGCCCGAACATGATGTTGGCCAAAGGGCCTGTCTGCCCTGAGCTTGGAGAGTTTGAAGAGATGGAGCAAAGATCAAGGTGCCACAAGAGACCACGTGCTATGGCTGAATGGTGCATGCTATCTGATCCAAATAGGAAACTTGTCCCAACCAAACAGCCAGAGTTCCCTGAATTAGATACCAGTCCCTTTGCAAAAAGCAAGCCAGAGTTAATATCTCAAGGACAGAGGAAGAAATTCCTTTTTCAAAATTCTGAAACAGCTGGGAATTTCATTAGACACTCTTTACCAGCTATGTTTCTCTCTCCTCCCTAAGATAAGCATCTAGTGTGTTTATCTGATACTTCTTGACTTTGACACAGCTTTTATTCTCAAGTAACCATTTGTTTGAAGTCTGTTGTCTAGGATTTTCAAGATGACTATACCTCTGAACTTCATTCTCATTGCAGAGGCCTTAAATCTGTGGATTTGGCCACTGCCTCCATCCTGGGTTGTATTCAGTGAGGCAGCTCATTGCCCAAGGGTCGTTAACTTAAGATACCAGCTGATTCCCTTTTTTTGCATCCTGATTATTGATAACCGCAGTCCCCGCCCTTGTTACTTATTGCCCAAGTAATTAACAGAGTCCCTTCCCATCAGTTCTTCATTGTAATCATTCTAAATTTAGTCCTACCCAAATTAATTCCTGTTCAGTCAGATGCTGGTTTGACACATAACCCTGGCTTTTTGAAGCCGGAGAAGTCTCTCTGAGGAGCCGGGCGATTTGAAGATGATGCTAATCCCTGAGTAGAAAGTTCATCCAGCCAGCCCTCTCCCGAGCTCCCTCTTCTGAACTCCTATTGTCTTGTCTGCTGCATCCCTTGGTTGCTCCCAGAGCTCTTTGTCGAGCTTCTCCTCCCTCCCGGAGATAGCCCGGGTCGTTCAGCGGGCTGCACCACCTGCACTTCTGATTGCTCTGAGACCCAGCCCGGAGAGGTGGGGAAAGCACGCAAGCCCTGTTTCAATAAACTGCCTGCAGAGAAGGCAGCCTGCTCGCAGCCCTGGCGCTCCCAGCCCCCTGAGGGCTCCGGGCTCATTTGACCAGCACAGCTGCGACTTCGGGATCTGCTGCTGGCAGGTGCCTGCTTCAGCATCTTGTCCCACTGCCACCGGGAGTTTATTTTTGCTCAAGGGCAGCTGCCAGACCCAGCACCAGCATCAATAGAAGGTTTTCTCTGATTTTCTTCTCTTCATCCCAGGCCCGGCTTTCTTACCCATCCCCGTTTTTTGTTTTGCAGAAAATGCCGAGGGATTGGCCAGAGACCATCACCTCCTTCTTTCTAACTTTTTTCTGCTCACCTTAGCAGCTTCCCTAGCAGAAACGATGACCCATAGCAGGAAGTTAAACACTGCTGGGTGAATGAAAAACTTCAGGACGTCAAAGGGTTTCCTCTGTAATATAGTAGTCAGGACTGGCCCATTTAACATCCTCTTGCAGCCATGAAGATGCTACAAGGTATCCTCCTGAAGCTATTGAGGGTGACCTGGGAGAAAGGGTGAAAAAAAAGCATTAAAATCAAAGTGACTTTCAATCTGTCTGCTTCATTTTCTGCCGAGAGATGAAAACCTAGCACTTGTCCCCAGGAAGAGCTGAGCATGATGGGCCAACGTCTCCAGAAAGGACAGGACTCCACATGGGGTCGACTTCGTGGGAAATTAGCCAGTGAGTCTGCTGATATTTTAACCCTGCTTTAAGTGCAGGATGCTGGCAAGAAAGATGGACCATTCCACCAGTCTTGACCCACCCCAGGGATGCAGCCTCTGCCAGCATCCTGAGAAGCAAACTCAGGTGCTGAACAATTCAGCATGTGTGTGGAACATCTACTGTGCTTGAATGAACCATCAGTTGGAGCCAAAGCTGCGTAAGAACACAAGGCCCTGTGACTGCAGCTTAAGGGAACAACCATCATTTCCAGATTGGCATACTCTTTCACTCTGCTATCTTTTGGAGACTCTAAATTGGCTTTGTAGATAGTCCATAAAGCTGTTTTTCAGACTCAGTCTGTAAGAGGTAAGTCCCTTTCCACATGCCCGCCCAGCTCACCCATCATGAATAAGGCAGATATATCCACTCTGAGCCTGCACCCAAAAGGCCACATGGAAAATCCAACGGGGTCACCCCTCTGAGCCTCCAGGGGCTGTGAGCATGGCCAAGTCCACAGGCCAGTGGAAGTCCCAGCTGCCAGGCGTCAACCATGGTGCTGGTGGGAAAGGGAGACCCCAGAGCTGTCCGCCAAGAACAGATCTTAGAACTAGCCAAGAGTAGAATGAGAAATCGGAACACCCAGTGGATGCCCCGGGTGTAAGGCTGTTAGAAGTCAGTAAGAGCCTACCACATGTCACCAGCCTGGCAGGATGTCTGCATAGGTCCAGGTGAAGGTACTCTGGGCTCTCTTGAGCCAGCAGCACTTAAAGCTCCATCTATAAAGCTCCCATTCTCTTTCTGTGTCACAAGTGCTGCAGGGCTGGATGATCCAGCTTTATCTTCCTGGTGTGCAAAGCGTGCTTGGTCTGGAATTTGTTTTTGTATTTTTTTAGCTTTAGCTGAAGGCATTTCTGAAATGCGGGGTGGGGGAGAAAAAGAGAATGGAAATGATAGAACCAAATCACAGATTGCCTGCCTGATTTGGCTGTGGTCTTCTGGTAATCAGACATTCCTGATGTGTTTTTCTGGATTCAGAAAGAGCTGATTGTCCTCAGAGGGTTGAAGCAGTGGTTTCAGAAACCTGAAATCCAGGGCCTTAGAGTTCTCCTAATTATCTGTTTTTTCTCTTTTTCTCCTTTCTCTCCCCCAAGGGAGGTGGGCAAACACTTTTTAAACCAGAGTTTGCTTTAAAGAGTTTTCTCATCCTCTGCATTTCCCCTTGATATTGAAATTATTTTCTCTTGTTTAATCCAGCTCCTGCTGAGAAGCCCTGTGAGCTGTAGGAAGTGGGGCTGTTTCCCTGTGTCTTTTGGATGGTGGTGCATTTTTACTCTTAACCGGAGGGTACATCTCAGTTATGTTCATTCTATTTCACGCAAGTTAACAATACAGGTGGAAGAGAGGAAGGATTCTGGGTTTTAGGATCATTTTAGAATTCTGTCCTGGGAGAGGGGTTCAGATACCCAGCCTCATAAGAGCTGGGGTGAGGGGTGGAGTGAGCCCTGCAGAAGCCCCCAGTTAGAAGAGAGTATGGATGAGCAGCTTTCCTTCTGGTCTCCTTTTCACATTGTCTGTTTCCTGAGTTTTTCATGTGTAGAAGATAACGTGTTTATTTCATCATCTCATGTATCTTCTTCCTGAGGAACCTGGATGTTCTCCTGGGGTCTTTCCCATGCAGCTTCCTCACACAGCTGTTTTGCACCTTGCTTTATCACCACCACCCACGCAAGACCATCTCCATGCAGAAGTACGCCTTTTGTTCTTTGGACTTTTGAAAGTAGCTTTGTGATGTTTGAATTTTCTGTTAGCATATTGCTCAAGCATTACAGAATGTATGTACGGAGTCCCTTCAACCATCTCCCCTGCCCCAGAATATCCTAATAAACATTGTTTTCTTTTTTGTTTTTTTTAAAAAAAGTGATTATCGTGATGCCTTTTTCTTTTATTGTAATTCATTGGAAAGTGATACTGAAATCTCCAAACACTAGAAGTTCCCAGTGTCATGACATGAAGGGGTTTCTGGTCCTATGCATTGTAAGATGTTTAGCAGCATCCCTGGTCTCTACCCACAGATACCAGAGGCAGCCTCTCCCCTCCGCCAAAGACGCTGTCAAGTCCCGGGGAGGGGGCGGCAGCAAATCTCCAACATCACCACCTGTTGAAGCCACAGTTTTATACCCAGCCTAATAGCCCCTTTGTGCTGCTATACCATGAGGAACTTGGCTCTAGTGTGAGGCCACGTCTGATATTTATCTCGTGTCTTCAACGTGCAATTTTATATTAAGAGGATAAGGTTGGTGGGTTCTCTGATTACTATCATACATGTATTAAATTATTTGTATTCAGTTACAAATTGTAAGTATTTTGATAAAAACTAAAGACAATTTCAGCAAATTCCAGGAGATAGTGGAGGACAGAAGAGCCTGGAGTGTTACAGTCCAAAGAGTTGCACACGACTTAGCGCTCAGCAACAACTGAGGCAGAGTAGGCCATTTTTGGCCTGTGGGATCTTAGTTCCCTGACCAGGGATCGAATCCACACCCCCTTCAGTGAAGGCACAGAGTCTTAACCACAGGCCCACCAGGGAAATTCCCGGGGGCCATTTTCTTATTTCCAGCTTCTAACTCAGTGCTGGGGCAAGGAGGAATCACTTTATACCACATAAGGCTGGATTTTTATCATGATCATGGTTGCTCAAAATATGACTTCCTCACTTCCCTGGGAAAGTTATCATTTCTGGTACCAAATCACCACCTGGTTTTTTTAAGGTAAATTATTAAAACCCAAATCACAGCAATTAACATCACCATTGTTACTTGCTTCAGTCTAAAAACTGCAGCCCACTCAACACCAAGAAGACCTTGCTGTTTGTTAGGACAGAGAAGGCTGCATTTTGCTTGAGATTCTGTAGAACATATTTTTATTTGTGAATTTTCATCCAGTTGCGTTTTCCTACTCCCTTTCTGTACTGCTTTCAAATGATCAAGTTTAGGGTGATTTCTACCAGACTCAATAGTTTGGATTCAAAGTTTGTGAGCCTTTGGAGCTGAGCCTGGTATTTTAAAGATACAACAAAACCCTAAACCCCAACATCTCATCAGGCTTGGGGCAGCCTGATCAAAACTCCAAGCTCAGTCCCAGACCAGCAGCAGCAGGCTGGCCCCCCAGGAAGGACAGAACTCTGACATCCCCTGAATCACCAAACAGAAAGGGGGAGGGAAACCTCGAGCTTCCTCCAGCAGTTCTTAGTATTCTAATCATCTCCCAAATACAACCAAATCCCCAGCATGCAGGTGATAGAAATTTTAGGAGCTGGAACAAGCAATGACTAATAAAAGCCTGAGAGAAATGCCAAGAAAGTGAATAAAAAGCAGTGACAGAAACAAGATACAAGACTGCTTGTGTTTAGTGAAATAAATAAAGCACAAACGAAAACACAATGATGTGAAAGATACGAGAGGGGTATCCATAAAAGTCACATAAACTGGTGGTGCTGCTGCCCCGATGGGTTTTATCCTTGAGAAGGTTTCTCCCTTCCCAGCTAGTAGACGAAGACTTCACCATGTTTCAAAGATAAAGTGAGCGCCTGGTCTGAGAAAACCTTGGGTGAGTACATAAAAAGGGGCAATCTTTTTCTAGGAAACCATTTGCCGATTCATATCATAATTTAAAATCCACATCCTCTTTGAGCTAACAATTCCACTGCAGGGAGTTTACCCTGCATTCTTACACAGAGTGCCAAGATACATGCAAAAGGATTTTCATGGCAGAATAATTTGCAATAGCAAAACGAAACAATTTAATGTCTATCAACAGTGAACTGGTAAAAGAACTCATGGTGCATTTGGATAAGGGGATACTAGGGCACCTGATGCAAAGAGCCAACTCATTGGAAAAGACTCTGATGCTGGGAAAGATTGAGGGCAGGAGGAGAAGGGGACGACAGAGGATGAGATGGTTGGATGGTATCACTGACTTGATGGACATGAGTTTGAACAAACTCCAGGAGATAGTGAGGGACAGGGAAGCCTGGTGTGCTGCTGCTGTTCATGGGGTTGCAAAGAGTCGGACATGAGTGAGTGACGCAACAACAACAATGCAACTACTTTAAAAATTAGATGAACCTCCACTGAAAAGGAAAGTGGTCTATGGTATATGTTAAATAAAAAACAAAGGTACAGAACAATGAAAATACAGTCTTATTTGTATACATTTAAAAACAGGTGATAGATGATATATAGATAAAGACATGATAGAAGATGTAAATGGGTGGATAGATAAATAGATGATGAATAGATGGATAGATAAAATTACCTAGATTCAGCATTTTTACCATGTCTGGATATCATTTTTACCAATAGTGTTAAAGAAGAAAAGAATACAGTAAACTGAGATGTGCAGTGGCTGGAATCCAGCTCAGGGTTTGACCCCGGCCCTTCGGAAGAAAGAGGCAGGTGCAGCCTTGGCTTAGCCCACACTCAGGACTGGAGTTTTCCTACTGTGTCCAGCAAAGCCCCACAGAGCCCAAGAGGCAGTGAGCATCCGCCCCACAGAGCCTCTTTGCCACAGTTTGGGGAAGAAGCACCTCAGAGGTGCTGTGTACACTGTGTGCATAGGAGGATTTTTTAAATAATTCTTCACTCTGTGGTTGGTGACATGGGATGAAGTCCTCTCTGTGTAGGGCCCATCCAGCCAAGGGGAGGCTGGGTTGGCTCTTCTGGTGACAAGAGTGTCAAGGGTTTGCCCACCCTGCACTGTGGATAGTGCCCTCAGAATGCTCAGGACAATCAGTTCAGTTCAGTCGCTCAGTCGTGTCCGACTTTGCGACCCCATGAATCGCAGCACGCCAGGCCTCCCTGTCCATCACAAACTCCCGGAGTCTACCCAAACCCATGCCCATCGAGTCGGTGATGCCATCCAGCCATCTCATCCTCTGTCGTCCCCTTCTCCTCCTGCCCCCAATCCCTCCCAGCACCAGGGTCTTTTCCAGTGAGTCAACTCTTCGCATGAGGTGGCCAAAGTACTGGAGTTTCAGCTTCAACATCAGTCCTTCCAATGAACACCCAGGACTGATCTCCTTTAGAATGGACTGGTTGGATCTCCTTGCAGTCCAAGGGACTCTCAAGAGTCTTCTCCAACAATAATGGCCTGGTAATAACAGCTGGTGGGACTGGTTGCTCACCACATGCCCCCCCACCTCCAGGCCAGGATGGATGGGCTCTGTGCATGGGATCTCATTCAGTCCTCACAGTAACTCCCAGATAGAAGTAATCTCATGTTGCAGCAAAAGCCACTGAGGCTCAAAGAGGGTGAGTGACTGATGCCAAGTCACACAGCCAAGGGAAGCAAAGCTGGACAGGAATTCAGATTTTTGAGGGCTGTGCCCATTCAAACTCTTCTCTGCTCTCCAGCCTGTTGGGGAAAAGTCTCCTGACTTCTGAGTAGGAAAGCTCACAGACCCACCTGCATTCCCACTTCATTTCCCTCCACCCACACTTGAGGCCATGTTATGAGAGCAGCCCAAGCTGACATATTGCAGCATGCAATTCATCTTCAAAAGATAATTACATTACCTCCCTCGCCTTAAGGAAAAGAACAGCAGATTAAAAAAGAAATGTGACAAGCCATTTGAGCACCAGGACCATTCCCCCAAGAGTCCCACTTCCATCTCGGTCCCTCACTCTAGACATAAAACCAATTAAAGTCGCTGCAACATACACAGTTTACACCAAGTGACAAAAGCCTGCCTAACTGATTTCAAGATCTCATTTACCCACGAACTGTGCCCAGAAAAACATGGCTTAACTGTTACTGTGAAGTTTGGGTGTACTTGACCCAGTATCAACTTCGAGGGGAGCCCAGTCATCATCCTCAGAACAACCTCCGCCCCTCCCCACCCCCCCACCGCCTCAACTCCCCCAGCTGTCACTGTGAGGGTGGCTGGCTCAGGAAAACCACTTCAACCCTCATACCTGTCTTGCCCTAAATTTGACCTCTCCCACTTCTACCCCATGACTGGAAGATGTGCAGGGAGAGAGAGCCTGT